AATTGGCCATCCAATAGCTCTTTTGTGCGAATACAATGTCATCACAAGGTTATCTTCCTCTTCCTTCGTTAATTTGTTTGACACAATCACTGGTAGAGTATCATTATCGACCAAAATTGTGAATTTCAAGTGATCCAGTAATTTCTTTAATTAAATCTGAGAAACCTACAAAACAGAAGGTATAAGTTTAGATTTTGAGAGTGTAGTAATTTTATCAGAACAAATAGAATTAATTAAGAAAGTTTGTACAAACTCCTTGAATTCACCATCAAAATTGTCCAATTCCTTACAAAATTTATCAACAAAATTAGTTTCAATAAATTCATCAATTGCAGACTCAATCACATCAACAAAATCAATACTTTGAACATTGTTAGGATATTGAGTTTCTTTTTAAACATTAAATTTAATGATATCACCATCAAACTCCATTGTAAGAATGCCGCTTCTTACGTTGATCTTTGTATTGGTAGTGTTAAGGAAAGATCGCCCAAGGAGAAGCTCAGATGAAGTATTTGAGCGACCGTTTTCCATGACAATGACATAGAAATCAGCCGGAAAGATGAATTCATTTACCTTTACTAAGACGTTCTCCAATAGTCATTTTGGGTAAATAATCGAGCGATCCACTAATTGAATGGTAACTCTCATGTTCTTCAGGGGTTTGACTAAAAGAGTATTGTAAACGGATAAAGGCATCACGTTTATTGAGGCTCTTAAATCGCACATCGCACGCTATATGCCCATTGCGCCAATTTTGCAAGGAATGTAGAACATGCCTTGGTCCTTCAACTTTGATGGAAGCCATCTTTGAAAAACGACGGAAACATGTTCTCCAAGATTTATTTTGTCGTGCATGGTAAGCCTTATTTTAGTAGTGCATATCTAATTTCAAAATAAGAACGCCAGCTAATCGTATCAAAATAATTCATGACAGAATCACGCAAATGTAAGGAATCAAGAGTACGATCGGGAATACACTTACAAATTTGGAACTTACGATGCCAAATTCTATTAAATTGCCAAGCCTCTTTATCATCAAAATCGAGATAACCTTGAAGTACTTCCTCGATCTGTACAGAGAATGTGTGCCCTCTTCGATAATGCTCGCGATAATGGTTGGTTGGGTGCATGATCATCATGGGTAGACGCTTTCTTGTAACTCACGACAAACGATAGTAAACGAGGGTGTTAGTCCCAGGTTTGGCGAGAGGAATATGTTGGCTAGGTCTTGGTTGTGGTGGCAAATTTAGACATCCGAAAGCAAAGTCATCTGAAAAACCATAAATGGGGTGCCACATTAGTAATGACTGAATATCAACAGGATTATATTTTAGTTCAGGTTATTCAGGCGCTGCCGAATGAGTTACGAATGAATGAGTAGTATCCAACATCGATTACGAGGCGGACATCATCAAATAGAATGTTGGAGTGGTTGTCAAAGAAGGGCGGTTCTACTCCGGTCCGGATGGACAGGTAGAACCTTGCGGTGGCACCTTAAAATCGGATGATGAAAAATTGACAGAAGCAGATGGCATCAGATCGGGTGTGGGTGGGCGAGCATGCAACTATTGCACACGTCTCCCTCCACGTTGAGCAAATGGTTGAGGTATGTGGGTGGGTTGTGGCAGCGAGTCAGAGCGGCTCAAAACATCGATCACCGGGGCACAGTGAAACATCACCAGCCACCACCGAGATTAACCGGTGGGTGAGATGGATTGCTCGATTGATTTCTCATTCTAACTATGACTCTTGATCGGCTAAGGAAGAAAAGAAATAAAGTGCAGCAACCAAATGACGTGTTTGGTGATGGAGCACAATCGACGATGAAAAGCCGATCAAAGCAAAGGCGGCGACGCAAAGGAAATCAGTGAGGTAGCGATGGCATTTTTGGAGGCGTTGTTCTTTGCATTGTATTGTGAAGGAGAAGAGAGTAAAGGGTTCGACTGATTAAAACAAAATAAAAGAAAATAGGCTGAAAGTTTATTTATCACGTGGGGTACGGTTCAAGATTGAAGGAGTTTAATTTAGTGTGGGGTTTTTGTAATAAGGTGAACGGATTATTTAAGTTTGAAAAGGGAAGTGATAAGGGAAAAGATTTATCAAATCAAAAAGAATGTGATGGGGATTGGTCATTAGGGCGGTTGAAACTCGTAAAATTTAGGGGGGATTTTGAGGGGTGTTAGGCGGCAAGAGGATAAATTTGGGATTTGGGTTGCACTAACATGCACCGACTTCACACTTGCTGCTAATGTGCACCGAACTCCCTTGCTTTAATGAAACAGTGCACTTATTTTGCTGCTACAATTCACAATTTTTTCTCTAAAATTGGCCTTGAATTCGTGGGATTTATAATCTTGACTTAGCTAATCTTTTTACTTCGATCAATTTTCCATTCCAGCTTTGTCCCAACTTAATTAAAATTGATTAGGGAACCTACAAAATTCAAATTAAGAATTAAAAATGTAAAATCGAGGAACGAAAATAAAAAAATAAAAATTGAAAACTAAAAAATGAAAATGAAAATTAATCAAAAGAAACGAATTAAAAGAGAACGAAATAGGTTGCCTTCCATTAAACGCTATTGTTTAACGTGTGATAAAGAGCTTCAAATTTGTTTGCCATGACTTAGACTTAGACTTTCGCTTGCCCATTTGTTTGCAGGTGGTAGGCCGTGGTGATTTTTTGTGTCACGCTAAGCTTCTTTATGAGCGCCTCAATAATTCGATTGATGAAATGGGTTCCTTTGTCACCGATGATCTCCCTTGGTGTGCCAAACCTAGAGAAAATAATTGTTTTTAGAAAATTCACAGTTGTTCTCGCATCATTATTATGGGTTTCTTTAGCTTCAACCCACTTAGAAACGTAGTCAACAATGAGAATAATATAAAGTATTACCAAAGGATGAAACAAAAGAACCCATATAATCAAGACCCATGCATAAAATATTTCATAAATATTGATCAAATTTAAAGACATTTCATTTCTACGACTCAGATTACCTGCTAGTTGACACTTTTCACATGATTTGCAAAAAAATAATCATTTCTAAATATATTAGGCCAAATGAAACCACATTCTAAAATCTTTTAAGTAGTATACTTTAGTCTAAAATGACCGTTATACGAATATGAATGAGGAAATTAGGGATCAAGTTTACCTCTTCTTCAATGACACATCTCTGGATTACCTAATTGGAGCAGTGTTTTTAAAGACAAGGGTCGTCCCTAATGTAAAACAGGGATTCCCTCTTAATTTGATTAATCAATGCTCTTAGCAAGTGCATCGAAATTGTACCTGTAGCTAAGTAGTTTACCATGTCAGAAAACCATGGTGAATTTATTTTCTGTGCCAACATTAAGTGTTCTTTGGAAAACTCCTCTTTGATAGGTGGGTCGGTTGAGGTGATGGGAATTCGGCTCAAGTGATCAGCCACCAAATTCTCTCTCCCTTTTTTATCTTTAATTTCCAAGTTGAATTCTTGTAGAAGCAGAATCCAACAAATTATTCTCAATTTTGCTTTCTTTTTGCTCATTAGGTGCCGTAATGCTACATGATAAGAGAAAACAACAATATTAGTACCTAATGAATATGATTGAAATTTTTCTAAAGCAAATACTATGGCAAGAAGTTATTTTTCGGTTGTAGAAAAATTTCTTTGGCCGAGTTCAAGGAACGAGACGCATAAGCTATAACATGAGGCTATTTGTTAATTTTTTGACTGAGAATCGTGCCAACGCTAGTGTCGAAGGCGTCACACATCAGCTCGAGTGGATAATTCCAATTTGGTGGTTGTACAATCGGAGCGTGATTTGCTTTTCCTTCATGTGTTAAACAATTTTTGGCTCTTCGGATTAAAGTCAAATACTTGATCTTTTTGGAGAAGATTGCATAACGGTTGCACTATCTTCGAAAATTCCTTGACAAATCGTCGATAGAATATTGCATGGTTTAAGAAAATAACGTACTTCCCTTACCGTAGTAGGGTAAAGGAGTGAGAGAATAATGTCGGTATTGGATTTATCGATCACAATTCCGTTAAAAGAAACAATGTGTCATAAAATCAACCCTTTATATACCATAAAATGACATTTTTCATAGTTTAAAATAAGGTTGAATTCTAGGCACAGTTTTAAAACATTAGATAAATTATAAAGGCTTTCATTAAAGGTATTACCATAAACCATGAAGTCATCCATGAATATCTCTATACCCTTCTCGATGTAATCAGAAAAGATGTTGAGCATACATCGTCAAAATATGGCGGTAGCATTACATAGTCCGAAGGGCATTCGTCTATAAGTGAATGTTCCCAAGGGGCATGTGAAACTCATATTTTCTTGATCTTCAGGCACCACTGGAATTTGGAAGAAACTTGAAAATCCATCAAGACAACAATAATGAGTTTTATCGGCTAATCATTCTATCATTTGGTCTATAGAAGGTAAAGGGAAGCGATATTTTCAAGTTAAAGAGTTCAACTTCCTGTAGTCAATGCAGACTAGCCATCCATTTTGCACTTTAGTCGGAACTAGCCCATCTTTATGATTTTTTTATTATTGTAACACCAGTCTTCTTGGGAACAACATGTATCAGACTTACCTAACAACTATATGACATTGGATAGATAATGTCTGCGTCAAAGAACCTTATGAATTTCTTTCTTTACCACTTTCATCATCGATATATTTAGTCGGCGTTGTCCTTCTTGAGAGAACCTAACTCCTTTTATATTTATCTTGTGTATACAAGTTGAAGGACTTAATCCCTTATTTTTGAAAATTGTCCATCCAATAGCTCTTTTGTGTGTACGCAATACCATAACAAGGTCCTCTTCCTCTCCCTTCGTTAATTTGTTCGACACAATCATTGGTAGAGTATCGTTGTCACCAAAAAATATGTATTTTAGGTGATCCAGTAATTCCTTTAATTCAATCTGAGGAACCTGCAAAATAGAAGGTATAATTTATATTTTGAGGGTGTAGTAATTTTATCATAACAAATAGAACTAATAAAGAAAGTTTGTTCAAACTCCCTGAATTTGCCATCAAAATTGTCCAATTCCCAACAAAATTTGTCAACAAAATTAGTTTAGGTAAATTCATCAACTGTCGGCTCAGTCACATCAATAAATTAGTTTATACTTTGAACATTGTTAGGATATTACATTGCTTTACAAACATTAAATTTAACGATCTCACCATCGAACTCTATTGTAAGAATGTCACTTCTTACGTCGATCTTCTATTGGTAGTGTTAAGGAAAGGTCGTCCAAGGAGAATCTCAGATGAAGTATTTGAACGATCGTTTTCTATGTCAATGACATAGAAATTGGCAAGAAAGATTAATTCGTTTACCTTTACTAAGATGTTCTCCAAGAGTCATTCTGGGTAAATAACCAAGCGATCAACCAATTGAATGGTAACTCTCATATCCTTTAAGGGTTCGACTGAAAGAGCATTGTAAACAGATAAAGGCATCACGTTTATTGAGGTTCCTAAATCGCACATCACACGCTTTATGCCCACTTTATCAATTTTGCAAGGAACATATAACATGCCTTGGACATTCAACTTTAGTGGAAGCCTTCGTTGGAAATCGGCGGAAACATGCTCTCCAAGATTTACTTTCTCGTGCCCGATAAGCATTCTTTTAGTAGTGCAAAGTTGTTTAAGGAAATGTGCATACTTAGGAACTTTCTGAATTACTTCTAATAGAGAAATGTTTATCTTAACCTTCCAAAATACATGTAGGATCTCTTTCTCCTTGGCTTGCATGTATTTCTTTATGAATCTCGATGCGAAAATAAGTGGCACGACATATGGAGATGGCATTGGTTCGGATATTGAATTCTTTTTCTTTCTTTGGATTGTGGCGTCATCGTTTTCCTTGGAGTTTGTGTCACTTTCTTCCTCATCTTTCGAGTTAATCACTTCTTTGTCATTCTTATGGGATCTTGCGTCAATCTCCTATTGGACCGGTTGTTCAAAAATTGTTTCGCTTCTGAGGGTGATGGCTCTTACATTCTCACTTAGGTTCACTTCGGTTTAGGAGGGAAGTTTGTCTTGCGATTCTAAGTGGCCCACAGTTTATGCTAGTTGACTAATTTGCTTGTCAAGTTCTTACAAGTCTGACTCTGTGCGATTCTGGAATTTCTCTTGGGATTGCAATAATCATTCCATGAAAGACTCGAGTGAACTCTTTGGCGATTAGTATGGTTATGATAGAGGTGGCATTTGTAAATAGGCTTGATTCTGCCTTGAGTTTTGTGCGTACTGAAATTTCAGATGATCTTGCCATCACAGATTGTATATGTTGCAATGGGGGATAAAGGATCATTAGGGAGGTTTTAAAAATTCCCTACGGCATTGACTTGTGCGCCTACTTATTCTTGTAGCTTTGGGCAGTAATTGTTTGGGTGGTCTAGCATTGTATATATCTAGCATACTCTGGCTGATCCTGTTTTTTCTTTTAACTAGGGAATTAACGATGTTAGTTAATTTTTCAATTTTATTTTCAAGAGAAACGATGCTTACCTTGTGAACCCGTTGACTATGTTCACTCACAGCGCTAAACTACTGAGAGTTGGTTGCCATCGTTGAGATTAACTCCCTCTCCACGTTTGGTGTCATATTGACAAGAGCTCTTTCGCTAGCAGCGTCGATCATTTTCATCTCTATGAGAAGTAAACCTTCGTAGAAATATTGAAGAAGCATCTACTCAGTTAATCCGTGTTGTGGATAGCTCACACATAGCTTCTTGAATCACTTCTAGTATTCATAAAGCATTTAATCATGCTTTCGTTTAATCCCAATGATGATTCGCCTTACTTCGCTATTGGGAAAAACCTGTCAAGAAAAATACTATTTAAATCAGCCCAAGTATTTATCAAATTTAGTGTTAAATAAAATAAAATAATCATTCTTTCGCAATGCCAGATAAAGAAAATGGAAATGATCTTAATTTAATTTGGTCTTCTGATACTCCCTGAGGTTTCATGCTTGAATACACCAAATGGAATTATGCCAAATGCTTATGTGGACTTTTGCTAGGAAGCCCATGGAAGAAAAGAAGTAGATTATCAGCCCCGTCTTAAGTTGAAACGTCGTTTCGCCTTGAGGAAAGGTGATGCAGAGTAGTTGTTGTATCGCGATAGCTGCATATAGGTTTGATTGTCCATTGGGGCTGGTGGTTATGCGTCGTGCATTGGATCGACGATGGGTGTGGAAGTTGATTATCATATTGCTGGATTTTACGTTGAATCTATTGATTCCACGTATATGGCGTCAATTGAGTCTTCAGAATTTGGTTGCTCTTTTCATTTCTTTTTGTTCACTCGAAGTGTTTGACCGTGAATTTGTCTGGATCGCGCTTCGATTTTAGGATCAAATTCTTCTAATGTGCCTGGATTCTACCTAGTCATAAATCAAAAAATAAGAAAATTAAATCAGTGACTTGACGTAGTCCCCGATAACGGTGCCAATTAGACAATGCATCATTTTGATGTCTGATAACTCCGTAAAAAAATACTTAATTTATAATCTTTTCACTTAAGTTATTGCTCGTCTAAACAAAGTATGCATTGCATTTTTAGTTGCATTTAGTTGCATATAGGTTATATTTGCTTGTGGTCGATAAGTTTTGCCTAGGCAAGATTTATTTGGCTTAACTGATCCTGCTAAGGAGAAGGGGTTGTTTGAGTTGTGTTTATGTAGGAACTCTACAGAGGAAGAACATTTCAGTCGTGACAATGAAAAGTTGTAAAGGCCAATGGAGCAGATGAGAACGTGAGGAGCATTTTTATCTCGCCGAGGCAAGATTTATCTGAAGAAGTCTGAAGCACATGTGGTGAAACGACCTATGTCACATGCCAGCTGGATGACTTACTTCATGTGCAAGCAAGCCTTGATTATTCTGACAGCCGCCAACCGCCTTTCCTTTTTAAGTTTGGGAAATTAATAACGGCTAATTAAGGAAACTCCAAAAGCATGCAAAGCCCTAGGAGATTCTCCTTATAATTACCAGCCGTAGCCGCAAAAAGAAGGAGGCAAGGAAGAAGAAAGAAGAGTTTTACCTTAGGCGTGAGCAAGCAATTACAGTGCTTTCCCTCCGTCTACACCCTAGTCTTCCTTGGTGTCCTCCATAGCAAGACGATAGTAGAGCAGTGATCATGCCTCGAGAGAGGGTGATCACCAAGGTAGGTGTGGTGCTGATCAGGATTGTCATGACAGAGACCCGGTTTTGGGAGTCGTTCTTCCTTTGTACCTAAACTCTAATTTTATTTGGGGTTGTATTAAACGGTTTAATCTTGGATGATCTTTAATAACACCATGAATGCTTTACTTGGTGTTAAACTTTGTTTGATTGAACAATATTTTTATGTTTATGAATGATGAATTATGTTTGCTTATGAATGTTTTGCTCGTAGTTTAAATATTTTACCTTAACACTGTAAGAGCATCGAGAGATCGCCTAGGGTTTCGGTAAAACTTATCTGGGCATTGTAAGTGCATGGAGAGATAGCCTTTTGTCTAGAACGTGATTCTTAAATTCGATAGAATTAAGAGAGATCAACGTGAGCAAAGGAATGAATCCGAGATGGTGAAGTTCTAACTTGTCTACCTTAGAGATAAGTTGTGAGTTTTAAATGACTAAAAGGGATAAAGGCAAGAGTAGGTTAAGACAACGTCTATAATTAGCGTCGAGAGGTATTGCCATAGCAACCATCTAAGAATACCTAGTAATCCTGTCGGGCAGTTTAGTGAGTCATAATAATTCATTCTGGCCTTAAAATAATTGTTGTCGAGACAATAGTTTAGCATCAGTGCTCTGTGACACATCTGAATATGTGAGGTTGTTTGCATTATATTTAATCCAATACTTGTTTTTTTTTATCTGTTTGTATATTTTCTTTGTCTCGACCACACTTTTCTGCAATCATTGAATCATTATTCTTAGCTCTTTAATATTAGTTCTTAGCTTTAATACTTAGTAGGATTAATTTGTGGCATTAGTTCTAGTTGTGGTGAAAAGATATTTCTAATCCAATCTCTGTGAAGACGATACTCATTCACTACTATATTACTTACATCGATTGTGTATACTTGCACAGATTAGCTTGCCTTAGCTTATACATTCAAAAATGATCAAGTTTTTGGCGCGTTGCCGGGGATTGGCAACTAACGAAATTTCTAGCCATAACAAGTTCTTTGTGTCACTTTATAATTATTTAGTCTAACGTAGTTTATTATTTTTTTATAGGTTTTTATTATTGCATGACCTTGAGATCTGCTTGTAAGCCTTTGGAACCATTCGACCCCAAAGTTGAGCAATCATTCAGACAAAGGTTACGTGCCCAAAGAACCAGAGAACAATTGAATCAAATGCAAAACGACATGGGAGATTTAGGAGATCAAGTTGCAAGACCAAGAACGATACGAGATCACTTGAACCCAATTCTCGATGACCTCAATCCTGGCATAGTGGCACCTAAGATACAAGCCACTCATTTTGAACTCAAACCAGTGATATTTAATATGCTAAACTCTATCGTCCAATTTGGTGGTACACCCAATGAAGACGCTAGACAACATGTACGTTCTTTCCTTGAAGTATGCGATTCATTTAGACAACAAGGAGTACATGAAGATGTGCTCAAACTGAAGCTTTTTCCTTACCCCTTACGTGATAAAGCAAAAGCTTGGCTCAGCGGAGTTCCTTCCGGATCAATGGAGTCATGGGCAGATTTATGCAAGAGTTTCTTAGTCCGATATAATCCGCCCAATATGAATACACAGCTTCAGAATGACATTGCAAGTTTTCTCCAAGACGATGATGAATCAATGTACGAATGTTGGGATAGATATAAAAGTTTACTTCGCAAATGTGTTAATCATGGATTTCATGATTGGACGCAAGTGGTGATATTTTACAATGGAGTCAATGCACCAACTCGAATGATGTTGGATGCCTTAGCAAATGGCACCCTACTAGACAAATCACCCGAGAAAGCTTTTGACATCCTCGACAGGATAGCGAATAATGACTATCAATTTCCAAGTGCAAGATTGGGAAACGACAGAAAAACCTCTGGAGCATATGAATTAGAAAGTAAAGATTCAGTAACAGCCCAACTTTCTGCCATAACCAATATGTTGAAAATTTGCAACGTCTAATGAGGTAAGAGAAGTCAAGGCGACTAATAATGTGTGCTTATTCTGTCATGGAAACCATCATGAGAGTGAATATCCTGAAAACCATAAGTCAACTAATTTTATGGGCAACTACAATCGGAACAATAATAATCCCTATTTGAGCACGTACAACCCTGGTTAGAGACAACACTCAAATTTTTCATGGAATAATTAAGGGAACAACAACAATCAAGCCATAAATTACAGGCCACAACAAAATAATTCGGACCATCAGCATATTCAGAATCAACATCATCAGCAGCCTGGCAGAACAATAAAGGTATAGCTTCTTCCTCTAATACTCATTCCAATACTAACTCCTTAGAATTATCCTTGCAGGAATTCATGGCCTCGACAAAATATTTCATGGCGTCTACAAAGACCTTGATGCACGAACATTCTACAATAATAAAAAATCAAGGAAATTTGTTACAAAGCCAGACAACACTTTTGCAAAGCCATAGTTTATCTCTCAGAGCATTGGAGAATCAAGTGGGACAGATCGCCACAACATTACATTCTCGCCCACACGAAAATCTCCTTAGTGATACTGAAATCACTAATCATCATAGAAAGGAGCATTGCAATGTACTTACGCTAAATAGTGGAAAACAAGTTGATCAAGATGACAAGTTTGAGGGAGATCAACTGAATAATTCTCGCAAAGGCGTAACACAATCGGATGATGAATCTGAGAATGCTGAACAAGAGAAAGTGCATGAAGAGAAGGAAAGAAGTGAAGGCTCAGAAAAGTATCAACCGGATAATAAAAAATTCATGGTCAAGGCCAATGATTACCCTGCACCATCAGTAGTCGATGTGAGACCTCCACCACTGTTCCCTCAACGGTTGAAGAAAAATGATGATGACATCCATTTCAAGAAATTCATTGATGTTTTGGACCAGTTGTGTATTAATGTGCTCCTACTTGAAGCCATCGAGAAAATGCCTTCCTATGCCAAGTATCTTAAAGAAATTGTTATAAAGAAAAGAAGGTAGAACGTGTCGCCACGACAACAAAAATTTGCTCAGCGGTGAGCAAACTACCACCAAAGTAAAAAGACCCTGGCAGCTTTGTAATACCATGTTCCATTGGTAATGACTTCATCGGAAGAGCTCTCATTGACTTGGGATCAAGTGGAAACTTGATACAAAAATCGATATTCATGAAACTAGACGGGTATCACACCCATCCCACCTCGGTCATTCTATAGTTGGCTGATCGGTCCTATATGCGACCCAAGCGAAGAATTGAAGACGTTACAGTAAAGGTGGATAAATTCGTATTTCCAGTGGATTTTCTCATTCTGGATTGCGAATCCGATGAAAATGCACCAAATTTTGGGACACTCATTCTTAACCACCGAAAGTATTTTAATAGATTGTGAAAAGGGGGAATTCACCATGAGAGTTGGCAAGCAAAGCGTCACGATCAATGTTTTCAACTCTATGAAATACGCAGATGATCCAGAGGAATGTCAATGCATTAGTAAGTTCGAAGAAAAGGCAATCCTTGGACGAGGTGAATCCTTAAGGCTCGATGAGTACAATACTTTGTACCATGAACCTACAACCAAGATGCATGAAGCATAAAACTTTGCCCCAGACGAACTATTTTTAGAAGATGGTTCTGACAATCATGGCCACGACAATAGAAATATGCACAATGAACACCCTGAAAGCGACGACAATGCAAAACACGGAGGAAAGAAATGACCAATTGAGATTTCTTCATAGGTCAGGTATGAAATTCGAATCTTTAGATTATGGTGAAGTTAAATCTCAAGAGTCATCTTCACAACATGCACCGAAATTGGAGCTTAATACTTTACTATCACATTTGAAGTATGCTTATCTAGGAGTTGATGAAACTTTACCAGTGATAATCTCTGCCAACCTAACCTCTGAACAGGAGAAGAGTTTGTTGCATGTTTTGTCACAACACAGAAAAGTTATAGGATGGATGATGGCATACTTGAAAGGAATCAGTCCAACAATATGCATGCACAAAATCATTCTTGAAGATAGCCATAGCACCTCAGTAGAACCCCAAAGACAGCTCAACCGATCATTAAGAAGGTTGTCATGAAGGAAATAATAAAACGGCTGGATGTGAGAGTGATTTATCCTATATCTGATAGTTCATGGGTTAGCCCAGTCCAATGCATGCCAAAGAAAGGTGGTGTAATTGTGGTTAAAAGCGAGCATGATGAGCTACTCACCACGAGAACAGTCACGGGCTGGCGTATATACATGGATTATAGGAAGCTCAACAAAGCCACAAAGAAGGATCATTTTCCCCTTCTTTTCATCGATCAAATGTTGGATAGATTAGCAGGAAAGGCATTTTATTACTTCCTCGATGGATACTCAGGGTATAATAAAATTTCCATAGCACCCGAAGACAAAGAGAAAACAACGTTCATATGCTCGTATGGTACCTATGCATTTAGGCGAATGTCGTTTGGACTGTGTAACGCTCTAGCTATATTCCAATGATGCATGATGGCAATCTTTTCAGAAATGGTGGAAGAGTGCATGGACGAATTCTCCGTTTCGGGTGATGACTTTGACCGATGCCTCAGTAATTTATCCAAGGTGTTGAAACGTTGTGAAGAAGCCAACCTAGTTCTGAATTGGGAGAAATGTCATTTTATGGTAACTGAATGAATAGTATTGGGACAAAAACTTTCATACCATGGCATCGAAGTCGACAAAGCCAAGGTGGATGTAATTGCAAATCTTTCCCCCACTAATGTGCGAGGTGTACGCAATTTCCTTGGACATGCAAGATTCTATATGCGGTTCATAAAAGACTTTTCTCAAATCTCTAAACCTTTATGTCTTTTTCTTCAACAAAATCATCAATTTAAGTTTACTAATGATTGTTTGAATGCCTTCAGAAATTTGAAGAAAAAGCTTTCAGCAACGCCAATAGTTATCCTACCAGACTGGAATGAACCATTTGAGCTTATGTGCGACGCTAGTGACTATGCAGTCGGAGCAGTGCTAGGGCAACGAAAAAGTAAAAATTTTCATGTTATCTACTATGCAAGCCGAATGCTTAATGATGCAAAAAAGATGCAAAGCCTAGACTAATTCGGTGGATATTATTACTGTAAGAATTTGATTTTGAGATCAATGATAGAAAAGGTATAGAAAATCAAGTAGGAGACCATTTGTCTAGGCTAGATAACAAACCTGATTGTCCTAATATCACAAATATTAAAGAGGATTTCCCTGATGAAAAAATATTATTTGTCACGGCTGCATCGTGGTATGCTGACATCGTTAATTTTCTTGTTAGTGGTATTGTTCATCTTGATTTATCTAGCCAGGGAAAACGAAAATTTCGACACGATGTGCGACATTACTACTGGGACAAGCCATTTCTATTCAAACAGTACGGAGACCAAATAATCCGAAGGTGCATTCCAGAAGAAGAGCAGCAAGATATCCTACTCCAATGCCACTCGTCACCATATGAAGGGCATTTTGGTGGGATGAGAACAGCAACAAAAGTGCTTCGGTCGGGATTTTATTGGCCATCCATGTTCAAAGACGCGCATGAATTCTACAAGTCATGTGATAGATGCCAACAAATAGGAAACATCTCAAAACGGCATGAGATGCCATGGCAAAATATTCTGGAGATCGAACTTTTCGACGTATGGGGCATAGATTTCCTGGGAGCTTTTCCAACATCATTCGGAGATATGTATATTCTCTTGGCAGTGGATTACGTATCAAAATGGGTTGAAGCCATTGCAACATCTAAGAACGATTCTAAGATGGTGTTGAAGTTTTTGCACAAAAATATATTCACCCGCTTTAAGGCACAACGAGCTCTCATTAGCGATGAAGGGACACATTTTGATAATAAATTGATTTCCAAGGGACTGAAAAGATATGGAGTATGATATAGAATTGCTATGGTGTATCACCCTCAGAAGAATGGACAAGCTGAAGTATCTAACCGATAAATCAAGCAGATCCTCAAAAAATTGGTTAACCCAAGTCGAAAAGATTGGTCGCCGAAGCTAGATGAACCATTTTGGGCCTATTGCACAACATTCAAGACACCACTGGGAATGTCCCCGTTCAAGCTAGTCTATGGAAATGAATGTCATCTACCGGTTGAACTCGAACACAAAGCTTATTAG